TGTTACTTGTTCGGTGGAGAGGATTTTTAGTACAGACCAGGGAGTCGTCTATTCACTATAGTCTATAGACCCAGGGAGTCTATACGACTCCCTGGTACAGACTCAGTGTGCATGTACAGCCATGCAGTCTAGGACTAGGGACTGTTCCTAGTGCTACTGGTACTGTGTACTGTCTGTGTACATGTTCTGGCATGTACTCAGTTATAATGCCGAGTAATCATGGTAATGGCAGCTGACTTTATTTTTGGAGAAACACTAGTCCTGGAGTGTCCTTGTAGTAAAACGTAACAATGAATGGCGATAGCATCTAGGAAGGATCGCTACCCTGACGTGAAAGAAAGGCCTTGCGCGGCTGCTCTACGAAGTGTTGCAGAAAGACTCAAAGTTAGTTGCTGGACGAACAACTCGCTGGGGCCGGAAAACCTGGCCCCAACGGCAACGATGGAGTTTGGTGAATCATCAAGCATAATATCTTGTAGCAGTGTTCACCGAGGAAGGAGAACGCTCTAGCCGCTGCTGTTGTCCGTTTCATCCACGTTGGGCGTGAGCTGCACCGCGCCTATTGTGTTTTAGTATTCCATGGACACACATTAGCATTCTGAGCGATTGTGGAGCCACAATTTACTTCACACGGCGTTGTATTGTCCACGAGCGCAAACTTTATTATCAGCAGTAACTGTTACTCTTCATCCTACATGTAGATTTGGACTATACACGGCCTTGTCAAGACAGCGACAGCTCTACAGAGTGTTCAAGTGAGAAACATTAATTTCAATTGTTGGTGGACGAACAAATCACTGGTTCTGAAAAACGCGGCCTGCATCGATGGTGTTTGGTGGATCATCGAACAGGGTGACCAGCAGTGTTCACCGAGGAAGGAGAACGCACTCGCCACCACTGTCGTCCGATTCATCCAAGTGGGCGCTAGCTGCGCCGCGCCTATTGTGTTCTAGTATTCCATGGATGCACACTAACGTTCTCAGCGATTGTGGAGCCTTGTCTTCATGCAGCGTTGCACTGTCCAAGAGCAGAAACGTCAGCAGTGACCCATCATCATACATGTAGATTTGGAGTATACACACCATGCGCCAATGGGCCTTGGCACAACAGCGGCAGCTCTACGGGGTGTGCAAGTGAGAAACTTTTGTTCCGACTATTGGTGGACGAACAAATCGTTGGTGCCGAAATACGTGGCCTGCGCCGATGGTGCTTGGAACATCAAGCATGGTATGTGGTGGCTGCCAATGTTCATCAAGGAAGGAGAACACTCAGGCCATCGCCCGTCATCCATTTCGTTAGCTGCACTAAGTCTATTGTGTTCTTGTACTCCATGGACACACAATCATGAAGCATGGCGTCTGAGCTGTGTTCACAGAGCGGGGAGATGCTCTCGCCGCTATCTTATCTGTCCTGTGTATTCCCAAGTGTCGAAGGCTCACAACGATGGCGTTGGACAAGTGAAATAAGATGGAATCAACGTAAGTACGCATGTGTACTCTTACTGACTGAAACATAAGTGGGGTGTAAGAGCTAATTCATATGGTGTTGTGACATTCACATGTACGAGTTTAGTGTGTAGTACTGTCTTGTTACGTACTGAGTTCTATGACTTTGTTTTGTCTCCATATACTGCATGCATTCACGTTACACACTTATCAGTTTGACCCTGAGTTCATGTCTGCTATCCCGTGTCTCCTCTGCTTCTTATTGTTTCCACATGGTTCACGGTGTAGCGCTGCACGTGTTCCGTCAGTTTGAACTTTAGCACAAATCGCAACTACTTGTACTTTCAGACATGGCACGTGATTCACGGTTGCCAGGGTTTGAGCCAATCAGAGCGCTTACACGCAGGTCCTGAACCCCTGATCATGCCCTGCCTGCCAGCTGCACTACGATATTATGTCACGTACCCGCACGCGCACGGTTCTCCTGCGCTTGGGCTTGCTTTCCCTTGGTAGTTGGAAGTCAGTGGCTGTTTTAGGACTGTTAGATTATGTAAAGAAAGTGGTGGACATCACGCAACTGCATTGTAAATAAAAGGGGGTTTGTCAACTGCCAACCGCATAATTTTCGACATCATTAATAAAATAATTTTCATCTAAAGAGTGAATAGCAACTAAAAAGAGCGGTTGTCAGTTGACAAATCCCCTTTTATTTACATTACTTTTATTTACACTACTTTTATTTACATTACTTTTATTTACATTACTTTTATTTACATTACTTTTATTTACATTACTTTTATTTACATTACTTTTATTTACATTACTTTTATTTACATTACTTTTATTTACATTACTTTTATTTACATTACTTTTATTTACATTACTTTTATTTACATTACTTTTATTTACATTACTTTTATTTACATTACTTTTATTTACATTACTTTTATTTACAATGAAAAATATCAATTGTGCACTCATAATCATGTATAAACAATTAAAATGAAACAATTCCAGAACGTTTTCGTGTGACCATCATCAGTGGAACATCGTCACATAGTAAGAATCACTAAAACAACCAGTTATATAGCTAGAGTAACATGAAAAGAAGCGTGAGAATGCAGCACAGCTAGCGGTTATGCATAACGCGTGTAGTGTGAACCTTTGCAGTGTATCTGAGAATGGTAGCAGTAGATGAATGTGGCAGCTGTGAGTGCGTGTGAACAAAAACTGGTGAGTGCGTATTATTTAAAAAGTGTGAGTGCTACAACATTTTCTTTTTGCTTGCATAGAACAGGGTCACGTGTGCGAATATATACAGCTTCCAACACCTGCAACTGCTTAAAGAAACGCGCGCGACAAATAACACTAAACCAGGAATCGTCAAACAACTTATTTAATTGTTTCATTTTAATTGTTTATACATGATTATGAGTGCACAATTGATATTTTTCATTGCTATTTTACGACTGTTGTCTCCTCGTCGGTTATTTAAATACTTTTATTTACATTACTTTTATTTACATTACTTTTATTTACACTATCTACTGTAGAGCAGGACATTTTCGGACGGAATTTATTTTCGTACGATTTCGTACACGGCCTCTTTTGTACTAAAATTATTCCGTACTAAAATTTGTTCATGTGAAATTATGTACACTATACATGCATACTGCTTGCGAACACGTGTATTTAGAATGCAGCACTGTACGAAAATATGATCCGTCCGAAAGGTCGAAATTTGGCTTTGTCCGAAAATATTTCCGTCCGAAAATTTCCTGCTATACAGTATCTGAAGTAAACACAACGTAGAAATATCACAATTGTCTCTTGTGTATTATATCCGTCTGATGTCACCAGATCGTCACATGGTGCTGTGACCAGGATACGGATCATGACGAACGCTGATTCAACTGGACGAATCGCAACCTGACGACGAAGAATCGCGAGGCTTTTCAGATGCTGGGACACAATGGAAACTGAACGACTTTAGAACAGCACTGAAGCGTTATGTTATCATGCAAGACGCCTTTCTGAGCTGCACAAACACAGGTGATACTACAGCAGAAGATGTCACTCACTATTCTGCAGGTGCACTGGTGACAGGCGCATGCAAGGTCACGAGAAGGAAGCGGTCTGATGGTAACTGGAATACCAGCAGTATGAGAGGGTGTGCATTCTGCGGTGGATCTCACCTGGACAAGAGCTGCACGAAATACACAACAGTAGCACAGCGGAAAGAATAACTGATTGAACAGAAGCGTTGCTTTGTGTGTTTGCGCACAGGGCACCGGTCAACTCAGTGCAAGGCCACCCGCAAGTGTAATGTGTGTTCTCGCATGGGTCACCAATCAGAGTCACCATCATGTCACGATCTGCCCTGAATCTCAACAGAAATCTGACAGCAGTACCAACATGGTATCTGATCAGCCTGTGTTTGACGAGGTACCAGTATCTAGCGCAACAGCAGCTAGTGCAGTATCAACCAGTATCGCCATCGACCGAAAGATAGTCAGTCGTCTTGATCGGTGCAGATTTCCTCTGGGAGTTTATGACGGGGAGCACCAGAGGACTTCCGTCAGGACTACAGGCTCTGCCTACCACAGTCGGTTTTGTGGTGACTGGCCGGACACGTCACCCCAAGCACTCAGCTACGCCGATGAGCAGCCATGCCAGCTATCGTTTCTCTAACTGATGCGATTTCCGACTCCTGCACCATCTCAGATCTGTGGGACTTGGACTGCGTTGGCATCCAGGATTCAGCCAATCTTCTAACAACGACCTAGCAATTAGGCAATTCATCTCAACTGTCATTCAACTCGATCGTTTCCGGTCTCTATCCAAGCGCCTAGAAGTAGAGTCGGAACTCAAGGTCAAATGCGACGACGTGATCCAGCAGCAGCTACGACAAGGCATCATTGAACAAGTGAGTCCTTCTACACCTGTGGGTGCCAGAGTGCCCTATCCGCCTCATCAACCAGTCGTGATACCACAGAAGACGATCACAAAAGTCAGAATTGTCTATGACGCCTCAGCCAAAGCCAGACGCACTTATGTGTCCCTGAACGACTGTTTGCAACGTGGCCCAGCTTTGCTGCCAGATCTGTTTGGCATTGTTCTACGATTTTGCCTGCCACCAATCGTTATGACCTGCGATACTGAGAAGGCCATTCTACAAATCAGTGTCAACCCAGCATACAGAGATGCGACACGATTTCTGTGGTTCGCCAACTCCGACAGTACATCAGCCTGGCAACGTATCGCTTCTGCCGGGTACCGTTCACGCTCATAAGCAGTCCATTTCGGCTTGGCGCGTCTATACAGCATCATTTGGCACAGCAAGATGACAAACAGCTAGCAGTGGCTATTGGTGAGAACATTTTCTGCTGTGCCATTGGAGTGTGCACTATACACGTACCCTGCTCTTTTGTTGGCACCGCCTCTGTAACTTACTGCATATAATAGGGTGCAAGGTGACCGTTGTCGGTTTATATGTACTCCAGTTATTACACCGTGCATGCACTGAGTCTGTGCTGTACTGTGCTGCATCCATAGGTGTTCGTTTGCGGTAGCGCAAGGTGACACGCAAGGTTGATGTATTGTGTCGTCCGCTGCTATTTGAAGCTCTCGGAGTCGGAAGCATTGCCTCTGTTTCCCCTGTTCCTCCCTGCGCGGAGTCTGTAGTTCTGGCTTGCAGTCGCTGTTACATGCATGTTGGCAGTTGCATGTGTTTTGGTTTTCAGTTGTCTTTATTTGTTTTGTGTGGACGACAGTTCAATATTCTAGCAGTTGTTACACTACCCATGTTCCGTAGTTATCTGCTGTTGGTGTTTGAGAGAGCAAACTGTGTTCTTCTCCAGAGTGGAGTAAACCATTCTCTTGTGTCTGAGGAAAACCTGTGTGTTGACGAAGTGGGTTGACTTGGCTGTAGAGTGAAAGTACCACATGGTCGAATGGTCCACAAAATCTTAGAACTAACTTAGGGTCTTCTGGCGTATGGTATATATGAGCAGCATGAGAGTGAAGTAAAAGACTATTAGCTCAAACATTCAGTCTTTCAAGAGTAGGTGTTCCATCACGGAATAGGTTCTGCAGTTCACTTACACACTGCAACAATGGACCAGCAGTGTCCAGCAATAGAGTCATGTGGATATGTACCGTATGCATACTCACAGCTGCAACTGAGGCCAACGCCCCGTGGCTGCTTGACTTCTCACTCGATTTTAATATTCACAACAGTAAGACTCTGTTATCAATCAGGGCTCTGTGAGCAGTTATGCTTCCGTTGTAGTCACAGATGCCGCATGATCAGTCACAAAACTAAACTTGGCAACCCGCAGTCACAGCTTCCATGGTGCCCCAAGACCAGTCCGACCAGAGATGACTAAATCTGCAGGGAGTTTCATAATCTGTTCATTGCAGAGTCCACTATACTGTGATTCTAGAGGGTGGTAGCGTTCCTGCAGTTGCGGAAAACTCGGCTGGAAGTGTCACGTGAAACCTGATTTTTAAAGACTTTTATTATTAATTAATTTTGTTTACTATGAGCCTATTATACGCGATACAGGCTCAGAACACACTTTTCGTCTAGTTGGCATATCAGGGATATTGGGCGGAGCAGCTGGAGCAGCCCATATCCCCAATTATGACACGCGAGTAATAGTGAAATACGATTGGTGTATTGTGCTGGACTGACTTCGGTAATGTAAAGCTAAAATCAAGTAGTCAGTTTCACTTTGCCCTTAGCATGGCCTTGTCATGAAGGTGCCACATACGTGGAAAGGCAACATGCCGGCTAATCTCCCTGAGAAGTTGAGTGGTTATCAGCAGGCGATGACGCTGTGTCGATGATGACCTGTCGATGCCCGACAGGAGCCTTGCGAGGAGAGTCATTGGGCCCGACGGGTAGGTAAAGCCAACTTCCACATGAAGTTTGCGGATGGCCGACAAGTGTAGACATGGACAGATCAGGGCTGAAAAGTTCTGAACAACTCGGCAGCAAAATAACACAAAGTAAAAAGTCATCACCTGGCAATGGATTGCAGGCATGCACTTGACAGAACTGGAAGCAACGGGTATCGGCGGAAAAATATTTCCGACTGGTGCCAGTGCTGGTAGCTGCAGCACGGAGTCCGTCAACTGAGAGTTGGCAAGACTGGCTGATCTGGCTCAGCTGCTGTTTCCGGAGCCCTTGATGTTTCAAACACAATCGCCGCAGGCCATGTTTTTCGGCACCGACGATTTTTTCGTCCACCATTTTTCTCACTGGACACTGCGTAGAGCTGCCGCTGTTGTGCCAAGGCCCATTGGCGCATGGTGTGTATACTCCAAATCTACATGTATGATGCTGGGTCACTGCTGACGTTTGTGCTCTTGGACAGTGCAACGCCGCATGAAGATAAGTTGTGGCTCCACAATCGCTGAGAACGCCAGTGTGCATCCATGGAATATTAAAACACAATAGGCGCGGCGCAGCTAACGCCCACTTGGATGAATCGGACGACAGTGGTGGCGAGTGCGTTCTCCTTCCTCGGTGAACACTGCTGGTCACCCTGTTTGATGATCCACCAAACACCATCGGTGCAGGCCACGTTTTTCGGAACCAGGGATTTGTTCGTCCACCAACAATTGAAATTAATGTTTCTCACTTGAACACTCTGTAGAGCTGTCGCTGTCTTGACAAGGCCGTGTATAGTCCAAGGCTACATGTAGGATGAAGAGTAACAGTTACTGCTGATAATGAAGTTTGCGCTCGTGGACAATACAACGCTGTGTGAAGTAAATTGTGGCTCCACAATCGCTCAGAATGCTAATGTGTGTCCATGGAATACTAAAACACAATAGGCGCGGTGCAGCTAACGCACAACGTGGATGAAAGGGACAACAGCAGCGGCTAGAGCATTCTCCTTTCTCGGTGAACACTGCTACAAGACATTATGCTTGATGATTCACCAAACACCATCGTTGGGGGCCAAGTTTTCCGGCACCAGCGAGTTGTTCGTCCAGCAACTAACTTTGAGTCTTTCTTCAACACTCCGTAGAGCAGCCGCGCAAGACCTAGCCTTTGCGTTAGGGTAGCGATCCTTCCTACATGCTATCGCCTTTCATTGTTACTTTTTACTACAATGACACTCCAGTAAGGTTTCTCCGAAAATAAAGTGAGCTGCCATTAAAGGGGAAGTTAAGGCAAAAATTAAAATTTCACCAGTTGTAGTCTTCGGGGTGCTGAGTCGAATGGTCGTGGTCCGAGGAAGCTGAGACGCTCCCTTCCTACTTGAATCCCAATCGAACTCGCGCACTTCCACCGAAACTGGGTGACTGCGCCCTACTAGATGGGGATTTGTATGCAAAATGTCACTAAAAGCGCCATTTCGTTCTTATAAAAGCACGGATGACCGCGATTGGCCCATATGTTGTAGTCTTTTGGACGCTGAGTCGACTGGTTTTGGTCCGAAAAGGCTGCGATGCGGCGTTCCTCCTTTATTCCCAATCGAACATGGTTGAAGAAGCGGTCACGTGCTCCTGCGTACACCAGTCACCTGGTCACCGTGCCTGCAGGGTACAACTTACTAGCCTGTTTGACCTTTTTTGGGTGCAGTCCTGTCACTCGAGTTGAACTCGAGTTGAACCTTGGTGTGAAAGTTGTCACCTGCTGGCGTGGTGACCAGGTAATTTGGGCACCCAGGACCACGTGACCGCTTCTTCAACCATGTTCGATTGGGATTAAAGGAGGAACGCTGCATCGCAGCCTTTTCGGACCAAAACCAGTCGACTCAGCGTCCAAAAGACTACAACATATGGGCCAATCGCGGTCATCCGTGCTTTTATAAGAACGAAATGGCGCTTTTAGTGACATTTTGCATACAAATCCCCATCTAGTAGGGCGGGTGAAAAATTCCAGATCCACAAACTCCCTCACATCACACGAGGATCTAGTTGCACTGAGGCAGCTCGCCCAGGATCGTCGAAAGTGGAAGGATCTAATGTGTGCTGTGTGTAATGGCTGAAGTTATACAATTACACTAGATACCCTTAACAATAATAACGGATACAATTACACTAGATACCCTTAACAATAATAACGGATACAATTACACTAGATACTCTAGATACTAGAGACTCGGTACTCTAGATACTAGATACTCTAACAATTTTATCAAACATTATGATAATTACCACATCAAATGCTGCGGAGACCTATCCAGAATCGGCAATATGCTGGCCCTGGCCTGGAGATCTGCAACTATAATCAGCTTCTACTTTGCAACACTAACGGATTAGTCCCCTTTGTCGATTGATGGATCAATCGGTAGATTCGGCTCTGTTTTTCTTCCCTTTCTTTCTTGTTTTGAATTGTACGTTGAACTCATTGGATTTCTTTGTATTCTGTATCTCGTTATCGTTATATTTCCCTCTAGCCCTCTCGCTTAGGATGAGCTTTCTTTTTTATGGCAGCTTAAGCGAAGGCTATATACCTGCTTTATGCAGGTTGATGCCAACGCGAACAAGCAAAATAATAATAATAATTATAGTAGGGCGCAGTCACCCAGTTTCGGTGGAAGCGCGCGAGTTCGATTGGGATTCAAGTAGGAAGGGAGCGTCTCAGCTTCCTCGGACCAAGACCATTCGACTCAGCACCCCGAAGACTACAACTGGTGAAATTTTAATTTTTGCCTTAACTTCCCCTTTAATGATTTAGGCATTACCATGATTACTGAGTACAGAGTCACTCTCACAACAGTCAGTACTCAGTGGCACAGACGTAGACTACATCATTACATGCATGCCATGCGATCCTAGATCCTGCGATCGTCGACAGGCTTGGCCGTGCACATGGTGCATGCAGCATGTGCCGCTAGCGCTGTGACGGCCCGGACCCGGACAGTACAGTCAGTCGGTAGATCATCTAATGAATACTAATGATCTACGCGGCTAGGCTGTGGCCAGTGTGGGATTAGTAAACCGGATTACTCGTTGAGATCGGGAGTCATATAATAGTACTAGTACTACGTGAAGGGTTGGCTTTGCCCATGCCATGGTCCCTGGCCTTGGCTTGGAGCTGGTCCGAGATAGTTTTTTTTAGTTTTCTGTCTAGTACTACTACTAGTAGTAGTAGTACTAGTAGTAGTAGTAGTAGTAGTAGTAGTAGTAGTAGTAGTAGTAGTAGTAGTAGTAGTAGTAGTAGTAGTAGTAGTAGTAGTAGTAGTAGTAGTAGTAGTAGTAGTAGTAGTAGTAGTAGTACTAGTAGTAGTAGTAGTAGTAGTAGTAGTAGTAGTAGTAGTAGTAGTAGTAGTACTAGGGTGAGTTATTTGGGTTCCTGTTAGTCCGCTGTAGCTGCTGCTGCAGTCAACCTCAGAGTTAGGAACTCGTTTCGTTGCACCCTATCATGGCCTAGCTCAGTAACATCTAGAAACAGAAACAGTTGTACAGATAGAAGTCCAGCGGCTGAGCCACTGTTTGAAAACGTTGAAGGCGTGCTCTAGCTCTGTAAGTGTAGCTAACGATTACGTTCCTTGCGCAGACACCATCGCTCACCAATATTTCATTCAGCAATTCGTCCCATGCCCACCGTCCGAGTCGGTTGGGTGGAAACTGTAGCTAGCGCACCCTTCACTTCAGCTGATCACCGCGCGCGGCTTAGCGAAAGCTGACTGATTTCGCCCCTCTGCCAGCCTCAGTAGCACGGTGAGTTTCAGAGATGCTTCGTGTCTCACTGCTAAAACATGCATGCTGGTTTACTCTAGCCGTCTAGGAGATCGAGAGTGGACCGTATGCGTGTTAAAACAAAATGGCGTCACGATTTATTGAAAGTGGTATAGAGTAGTTGGTGGAACGAGTGTTCAAAACCATTTGAACTTCATACTGTTCGTCTTCTTTTTGACATGCTCTCTTTCCATCGTCCTTAGCTTTTGTTTGTTGTGAGCTGTTTTGGCTTTCTCCTATATCTCTGGGGGATGCCAAGTGATGGTTTTGATAGGCTGGTGATGGCTGTGAGCGAGAGTTTGCCGATCGGCATCGTCCTCGCTATAGCGATGAAAATACTAGTTACTGCGCACCTGGCAGATATCACAACACGTCTAAGCGTCCAGGAGCAAAGGAATCTTGGGTTTTCACTGGAATCTAGTTCCTCCAGCATCGTGTAGCCCACCGTCGGTGAATGGCAGTCCAGAAAGGTCGAACGTGGTCTTCTGCAGCATCTCGCAGTCCTGCGAGGCACACTGAATACGCCTGTCATGTATTCTACAAATAAAAATCACGAAGTAGTGGATTCTTTAGTGATGAGTCTATCCTGTACCCTGCAAAAGACACAGGAAATGTGACTGGTGTCTGTACACTGGACGCCAATATCCCATTCTTCTCCTGCAGGATCTGTTTGGCATTGACATACCGGTATGCAGTGGGTCGACATTGGCCTGGTTTGGCAGCTATCTGCCTGGGTGGATGTAGCAGGTTTGCATTGGCTCGTCGTCCAGTCCGACATTTTCTTGTAACTGTGGAGTACCGGTAGGGTTTGAGAGGTTGCTCATGCTGTGAACACATCTCTACTGCCTGTTTCGTCCTGGAAGTGCCGTCTCGCCGCTTCCTTGCTCTACAGTCGTGCTTATTTCGCTTTATTTCGTGGTGCAGCTCAAAACCTGCCCAAACAACTGTGAGCTCGCAACATGGTATGGACAAATTGCGCCACTCATGCTGGATGACTAAAACCAGGATAGTCCAGTAAGCGAGTTTACTCCCTGGGCCATGGCAAGATCTGTTCAGCGCGGGCTATTCCAACCTCCAAGTGCATAGTCACCGATCGATCCATGCGATGGTGGTTGACCTACAAAGAGCCAAGGTCTATGAGTACTACTAGTGGATGCTGTCTACATGCAGTCAACAAAATCAAAGTACCTCAGTATGCCCCAGAACAGGGCATGTGCATCTATAGCATGACACAACAGGGGTTCTGGCGGCACATGTCAAACAAGCAGTAGCTACTAGTGCCAGCTACCTATTAGAGGCTAGCCGCTACAGTCTGTCACTGGAGATAATTATTGTGTTCATTGTTTGGACTGAGCACAATCAATGATGCCCAATCAATCTGCCCAATGTGTGTTCTGTTCCACTTAATTATAACGTCCCATCGCATCAACCCTACTACACGCACATGTCGTCACTCTAGCATGACTTGTGTTATTATTGTTTATTTTGATTTGCACGATAAATAGAGCACAAAAAACGTTAACTTGACCGAAGGATAAAGGCGACTGCAGATAGAGGAACACATCGAGGTACAGGTACCGGCATCAATACAGTATCAGAGAGAAACAAACAAAAATGAGAGGCACGCAGAAAAAACTCTCGTAAGCCCAAGTCTGAAAGGGGTAGTGGTTGATGAGGGATGAATGCACTGTCCACGCTCGTCTACACTGTTCGTGGAAATGCACACATACATACAATAATAATACAACACAGCATGCACAGAACCGAACAATTTCATGTTCACACATGCAAGTACAGACTTGAACGTTGGTACCAAAAGCCGATACAGACAATATCCCCATACATACAGACACACACGCGCACACACACACACACACACACATACACACAATGTCCCATGTATGCGCCCGTGGCGAGAAAAGCACGCAAATCTACAAATGCCCTGGATGTGAACCCACATATTTTCTCTTATTGCAATGATAGCGGATCTGATTCTGAATGAAACACACACACACACACACAATACAATAATGCCCATCCGCAGATGATGGCAGGTCCTGAAAGGACAGGCAGTGTTTCAGTTATGGGGAATAGAACTTCGAGTGGCGAGTGAAGTATACACACACAAACACATGTGCGCGCGCAGGCACACACTAAAGTATGCAGAAAGAGAATCGACATTGTAGTATTCATTGGTTAGGGAATGGAAAGGAAAATAAAACATTGCAGCAGGTTATTGTTGTATGGACACTATGAGCACAACAGAAAGGTAAGCAACTTGCTTTGAAGCAAAGAAAGTTATTATACCACGCATCTCAGAAGGAAAGAACGTTCCGGAATGCTGCACTGGCAACAGGCAGCCTACATGTGCGTGACCCCTGCAGTCGGTCCAGCTGCCGGCCTTGCAGTGCTGAAAAGAATGTGCAGTACAGCATGTCACGTCGTATCGCAGCCTGGACAAATAGGCGCTGGGAAGTCCTAGTTATGTGCTCACCTACACCACGATGCACCAATCTTCTGAGCTACTTTGGCAACAACTTTGTCCACTTGAGACTCCCATGGGCTGAGCCAGTTGTTCAGGGCTGCACCAAGGTGAACGGCAATGACCGGTGATGGCAATGCAATCCATGACACACAGTCACTAGGGCATCGTTAACATGGCGCTGAGGCTGGATCGATAAAATCTGCCTTTAGGCTGGGTTGACAACGAGGCCGCTGTCTTGCTAGTCAGTCAGCCTGGTCACCGCCATTGACGATCCAGTCGCCACCGTCAGCAGTGGCGGTAGGTTGTGACAAGTGTGGTGCAATATTCTGTCCCCGGGGAAAATTGCGAATCCGCGGCCGCGTTTTTTTCCGCGATTTTCCCCGCGTTTTTTGAACTTTTTTGTTGCACTACACGTACACACAGTGCACTGTTCGGTCAGCAACGTCTCATCGTGGCGGCTTTGTACTCAAATATGACGAGTGCTTACACCAGAGACTTGTAATTGATAGATTTCACTACATACTTACTGAAAATTGCCGCACATCAATATTATTCACCGCATATTTACCGCATATTTACCGCAAATTCACCGCAAATTATGCCATATTATGCCGCGTTTTTCCCCGCGTTTTTTTGCGATTTTTTCCCGCAATTTTCCCCGGGGACAGAATATTGTCAGCAATTCAGTACTCGGGATAAGATGAGTGACAAAGGGAACGTTGTGTTTGTATAATATTGAAGTGAACAGGGATGATCACAAATCTTGCGCGTACTCCACCGTAAGTTACAAGAAAATTCCGGACTGGACGACGAGCAAACGCCAACCTGCTACATCCAACCAGGCAGATACTATTACGATAGCTGCCAAACCAGGTCAATGTCGACCCACTGCATAATGTCAATGTCAAACAAATCCTGTAGGAGAAGACTGGGGTGTTGGCGTCCAGTGTACAGACACCAGTAACATTTCCTGTGTCTTTTGCAGCATACAGGCTGAGACTCCTCACTGTAGAGTCCACTATTGCATGAGTTTTATTTGTACAATACATGGCAGGCGTACACGGTGTGCCTCGTAGGACTGCGAGATGCTGCAGAAGACCAGGTTCAACCTTTCTGGACTGCCATTCACCGACGGTGGGCTACACGATGCTGGAGGAACTAGATTCCAGTGAAAACCCAAGATTCCTTTGCTCCTGGACGCTTAGACGTGTTGTAATATCTGCCAGGTGCGCAGTAACTAGTATTTTCATCGCTATAGCGAGGACGACGCCGACCGACAAACTCTCGCTCACAGCCATCACCAGCCTATCAAAACCATCACTTGGCACTCCCCAGAGGTATAGGAGAAAGCCAAAACAGCTCACAACAAACAAAAGCTAAGGACGATGGAAAGAGAGCATGTCAAAAAGAAGACGAACAGTATGAAGTTCAAATGGTTTTGAACACTCGTTCCACCAAATATATCACTTTCAATAAATCGTGACGCCATTTTGTTTTAACACGCATATCGAGGGTTTCTGGATTCATTCCAAACATATCCAGGGGCGTATTGTTGGGAGGGGGGGGGGGGGGTGAGGGGTGATTTGAGTGCCAAACACTCAAATTTCCGATCTTGGTTCGAGAGACACCATTGTACACTGTCCGTTCAGCACACGTGCAACTCTGCAGAACGAACAGTGACTGTTAAGCTGTCCACAATATTTCCAAATGTAGCGTATTTTCCGGAGTATAAGCCACACTTTGAACGCTCAAAATTCACCCAAAAATGGGAGTGCGGCTTGGACTCCGATGATCAAATTAACAGAGATAAAAAGGGTAGATATCTGTATTCCGTGGCAAAAATGGGGGGGGGGGGGGTCTGGCTTATACTGCAGTGGCGCTTATGCTCCGGATACTAGCGTACTGGTGGGTGTTTTCAAAATGGTCCAGGAAATTTCTGAGAGTGTGTAGATGTACAGTAGGTAGAAGTAGGCTAGTACCTGTCTGCAGTGGAGCGGTGTCAATACATGATTGTAATGTTTTGTGACAGGGAGTAGTAATATAGTAGTATTTTACTACTCTCTGCTTTGTGCATACTGTACAAGTAGGCTAGTACCTGTCTGCAGTGGAGCGGTGTCAATACATGATTGTAATGTTTTGTGACAGGGAGTAGTAATATAGTAGTATTTTACTACTCTCTGCTTTGTGCATACTGTACAAGTAGGCTAGTACCTGTCTGCAGTGGAGCGGTGTCAATACATGATTGTAATGTTTTGTGACAGGGAGTAGTAATATAGTAGTATTTTACTACTCTCTGCTTTGTGCATACTGTACAAGTAGGCTAGTACCTGTCTGCAGTGGAGTGGTGTTAATACATGATTATAATGTTTTGTGACAGGGAGTAGTAATATAGTAGTATTTTACTACTCTCTGCTTTGTGCATACTGTACAAGTAGGCTAGTACCTGTCTGCAGTGGAGTGGTGTCAATACATGATTGTAATGTTTTGTGACAGGGAGTAGTAATATAGTAGTATTTTACTACTCTCTGCTTTGTGCATACTGTACAAGTAGGCTAGTACCTGTCTGCAGTGGAGTGGTGTCAATACATGATTGTAATGTTTTGTGACAGGGAGTAGTAATATAGTAGTATTTTACTACTCTCTGCTTTGTGCATACTGTTTATCCACACAAGCAGCAACAAAACTGGATTCTCCTCAGCACCACAAGATATGTGTTGAGGAACACATCAAGAAAAGTCGTTTGCATCAGCCGGGCAGATCGCCACTGGCACTTGGCCCATATGTCCTAGTGTTGATGTTGCTGATTGCTGGTGATCGATGGTAGACAAGAGGGGATACGTCTATGAACTAAATGAGAATGTAGCTGTCGCACAACAGAGAGTAGTAATATAGTAGTATTTTACTACTCCATGCTTTGTGCTGTCACACAACCCTATACATTCATCATTGGATATCACAAGAAAAAGCCGCGCAGCATATCAATTTGTTACGCTGTGTTTTGTAGTTCTGGCTGTTTAGCGTTTGTGTTGGCGGTCGTGTAAAAGAAAAAAGAAGTTTGGTTCATGTTTTTCAAAGTGCACTCATATACTAGCAGAAGCAGAGAGATACATGGACAAGTTGAAATGTAATTCACTTTTCTTTAGGAAAGCTAGTGAGTCTGATCAACCAGTCACGTTTCCTGCACTATCCAAGAAGATATCCAAGAAGATGAAGAGAAAAAAGAGTGGAGAAATCTGATTTTGGGATCAAAGCCAAAGGAGAGCCAACGGTGTGGTAATTCCAGCAAAAGAAGCATCCAGGATCTGGCTCATTACTAGGAAGCTTACCATTGAAGAGTGATCTTGAATGTCAACCGTGGTGGTTGCTTCTGCTGTTTTGCCTTCATTGACCCAGTACATATCATGGACTATGTGGTAATCTAGCGGCATCCTAGCAGTACTTGAAAGTACAATCATGTAGTACCATGGCATGGTGTGTGTATGAACACACAGAACACATCTACAATCATGTACTTTTGGGGAAATTTGTGCCCCCCCCCCCCCTCTCTTGATCATGATCCTGGCTATGCCCCTGAAATCCATCATCGCAGTTTGTCCAGTCAGCTGCTGTTTGAGCCAACACCAACAATACGTGGCGGGAGAATTTCTTCTCTTATGCGAGACCAAAAGAAGGTTTCCGGGCCCTCCCGCACTAAAATCGTGCTGAAGTCATTTTTAACCAGCTCATATACATGTACAGTACTGATCGTGTGAGTAGATATGTGACAGGGAGTCACACAAACCCGGGCTAGTACGACTCCCTGGTGTACGACTGAGGGCCGTTGTTGACCGAAATACCAAAATATTTTCAACATAGAGTTCTCTATAAGCAAGGGTAATTATAATTAGCCCCTGGGAGGGTGCAACTCAGATGGGATTCTTTACCAGCCAAGTCAAAACCAGCAAGTTCTTGTGTTTGTAGTACAGGTAGAGATCAGCTATAGGGTTGGTGGTTATAAGAATATACCGCCTATAATGTTATCAGCTTCAGAATTCCAAATCTAAAGTA